ACACACACACACACACACACACACACACACACACACACACACACACAGAGCAATCATTTGTTTTCCTCCCTGAAGAATCAATTGACCTAAATAATCAGTGTTCCTCTGCTCTCAGACGTCTGTACTTGAGACTCAAACAATGATTTAACGCTACCCCAAATAACCGTGAAGGATGCAAAATCTCATGCATGTTTTCAACTTATCACGGTATTTACTATCACTGATTATAATACGGACACAGCCACCGTTGAGTTAGCTCAAATGCAAGATGTTAATAACAACTTGAAGCTGGGCGATTTCAGATGCATTTTGCATAAAGTTATGGAGCGCAAAAGAAAAATTCTCTGCTGGGGAGCTTCAAATATTGGTTAAAGAAACCAATAATGGTATTTCAGAACTGCAATGAAGGCTGTAAGGAAGGAAATAGCGGGTCATTAAAAGGTATTGGCTCAAGAAAAAGGTCAGTGATTGAGGAGTAACCAGGGAATGGCATGAGCTGGAATCTTGTAGATATTCTCAAACTTCCTTCTTACCAAAATGTCATAAAACACACTCTTTTTTTTCTCGATCTTGATGGTGTCTCCTCCAAAAGATCCACCCTAAATTCTATGCTTGCTTCTACTTGACCTTTAATCACGGAGACAATTACCTGTGCAATCAGCAGTGATAGAAATCAGTGTCAACAGCCATCTGTATAAATGGTAAAAACAATCCGAAAAACCCACGAAAGATATTGAAATAACCCAAACATAGATTTTTTTAGGTAATGCTTTTCTCACATATTGCCTGTGTAAAAGTTCAACCCAGCCCCATGGTATGTAACAGCCGACACATTAGCTTCAATACTGTAAATCAAATTAAGTCAAATCTCAGTGTTAAATGTGAGGTTTTATGTGTAGTTTGTTCTCATTGAATAGATCTTGATCTCAATGAGTCCTGCTGTCTTTTCCTTATTTGATTAAAAGCGATGTCAGGAACAAATTTGACCTGATGATACCAGAAACAATACTTATTAATTAAACTTTCTAATCTTTCCTATAGATCAATTGTTGCAGGATCCTGTATTAACATTAAGAGTCAGTAGTTTTGATATTCTGTTTTCTCTGCAGGACCTCTTCAGCAAGTCGGACCCCTTTTTGGAAATATATCGAATCAATGACGATGAAACTGAACAGCTTGTGCACAGAACTGAGGTTGATTCATCGTATACACTATTCAGTTTAAGCAACAGCTTCTTTCTGCAACTTTGCTTCATATGTAATGTGTTGCTACTCTAACAGGTGATTAAAAACAACCTGAATCCTGTGTGGGAGCCCTTCAAAGTGTCTCTCATATCTCTGTGCAGCTGTGATGAGGACCGGAAGCTCAAGGTAAAGCAACTAAGTCCACATCAGTAAAAACCACAGGGGTCAGAAACTTTGCAACCAGGATTTAACAGTAGTAGAATAAAAGACTTTCATTGAATATTTTAGGGATAATTGAATACATATTGTAAGAATACTGTATGTAGGGCCAAAACGACAGAGAGAAAGTAGTATACAGTATTGTCCCTGTGTGCCACAGTGCCTAGTGTGGGATTATGACTCCAGGGGGAAACACGACTTCATCGGCGAGTTCTACGTCACATTCAAGGAAATGCAGAAAATTTCCAGTGGAAATAAGGTCAGTGAATGGAGAGGCGGAGCAGAGCAGAGTGGAGACAACCGTGTAACCGTTTCATCCATTTTCAATATGCCTCTCATTTTACTCTGCTGAAATCCATCCCAGATGAAATAAATGTCATGTTGATTCAGACATATCGCCAATAGTCACATGCTGCTGTTTTTGGCTCCTGTTCTTAGTCTTCAACTTGCTGTGTTTAAGGTCACGTGGGACTGTGTCAATCCCAAGTACAAACAGAAGAAGAGAAACTATAAAAATTCAGGAGTTGTCATCCTCACTGAGATGAAGGTAGGAGTCAGTTGAACCGATCAGTGGTTTATCCTTTTATTTTACATAATGAAATAGGAACAAAAAACTTGTCCCAGAAGCTTTTTGTTGTAGGAAACAGTTGCTTAGAATTTGAAGAACAGTATGAATAAATTATAATAATAAATACTTTTATGCATGTATGCTCTGTACATAGAAACAATCTTGTTTGATTTCTCGTACTGTACAGCTAAATGAGAAATTTCACAGCTACCTCAACAGAAGGCATTTTTATATTCATATCACTTTTTTTTATCCTTTACTGTCAACAGATTTGTTGAGTTAATTCCGTTTTAATGACCAGATGCCTCTGGGGTTTTTCCTTAAAGAAATATTATGTGGTTTTTTTTGCAGCTCCACAGAGTGTACTCCTTCTTAGATTACATCATGGGAGGATGCCAGATTCACTTTACGGTAAATTGAGCAGTCCGTGTTTAGCGACGCCGTCATTGAACTTTTACCTGCACTGGCTGGTTGTATGAATTACCTAATGCTGTCAGATTGCTTATTTTTTTAAGACCATATTGCTTGTAGATAAACAGACTTTGGTATGGCTTTTTTCTTGGTTGTCTGTTAGCATTCAGTATGCAGCAAAGGTTACATTTTCTGATTGTGAAAGATAACACAGTAATTAAAATATATTTATCCTTGAAACATGGTGTTTTTGTCCATCAAAAACTGTCCACCAGTTAGGTTTCTTGTAGGCAGCTTTGTGGACCTTCAACCCTTGCCCTTTGGTCTGCTCTCTGTTATGCCGCCTCTCATTCTCACTGGATTGCTGAAGCAACGAATACTAATTATGAGGAATTTGCTGTGGTGGATGCAGTTCCTCCTTGTGGAAATAGTTGGCTACTTAGATCTACAGTGTACTGGAGCTATAGCTGTTTCCATCTATGTGGGTGTAAAAAGCGAAAGTTCTTACCTCTGATCAGATAATTTATGCTGCCATTATGCATATTTCAGGCTCGCTCATACAGAATTATTTATAATATCACAAGCAGCCAAATAAAAAAGTTAAGCAGCAAAATGAAAACCTAATTGATTCTGTCATATTGTTCTTGCTTCACATTTCTTTCTACCAGGTTGCCATTGACTTCACAGCCTCCAATGGAGATCCCAGGAACAGCTGCTCTTTGCACTACATCAACCCTTACCAGCCCAACGAGTACCTGAAGGCTCTGATAGCAGTGGGGGAGATCTGTCAAGACTACGATAGGTTTGTCAGTCTTTTGTTTCTCAGTAGAGGCTCTTTGGTGCCTACAGTGATTGTCAGTGTCTCCTTTTGTAAAATGGAGATGCCGAGTGTCCCTTGCACGCCATTGCGATGGGATCGCTCACACTAAAACGAGCCACTCTATCTGAATCACAGCAAAAGGATTGGAATGGAAATCATGGAGTACTGAAACAGAATGGCAGTAAATCTCGCAAGTTATTACATTTCTGCTCACCAGTTTGGTCTAGAGCTGATGGACCTGAACTGTTGGCCTCTAGCTCCTCCATCTGCGATTCTTTCTTTTACTGAAATGGATTGTGTGCAGGGAATAACCTCTCATTGTCAAAACAGCAGCTGGTTACCTGCAGCACCAATACAGTCTTGTTGATTGTCGTCTTCATGTTCACACTGGCACATGTATTTTAATCTGTTTAACCATGGCAAAGTAATGCACGAGAAAGTGTACCTGGAAAATTAGAGCAAACTAATTTGGCCTTCACTGGCATTACTTATGCATGAGGCTAATATGGGGCTGAAGCTGGTGCTTGGTAGCAGCAGTCAAGGACACTGACAGAATATTCTGGACACACTTGACAAACCATTTTGTCAAAGTATCCATCATGTTACAGCTTTTAACAATCCATCAAAAAGATAACAGTTTGACCTTTATAGCCACATGCATTTAAATGCTGTGCAACATCAGTTTTCTCACTGACTGACTTTTGGCAGAGATTTCTAAACATTTTTTGAATATGTTTGTAATCTGTTCTTGCGTAACAGTTTGATAAAGAGATAATGATAACAAACACCACATCTCTCACAAATTGATTTTAGCAAATAAGACAACAAACCAAAGTAAAAAAAAAGGATAGATGTCTCTGTCCTTTCCTCTTCTTTCTTTTCTATATGCCTTGTGTCTTCGCTGTTTGTAAGGACAGTGCTGTTTTGCATATAGTTCACAGTGTCTATGCTCACAGTGGTGGCTGCATGTGCTTTCTTCTGTGGCTAACTCAATGATACAGTTTTCTCTCAGCATCTGTTGCAGCTACTGGTCCCCGTTCTTAGCCTGCATGGGCTCATTACCCTGAACTACAGACAGACACATGCAGAGACGGGGGCTAACACCAGGATAGCAAGCACTTCAACATGAAGTGGGAGGCATCATGGGTGGTGAAATAACAGCGTGGCGTAGAATCAGATGTGGGTGCAGCAGCAGGCCTGTTTATGGAATCATTAAAGACACTGCAGCTAATAAAATGAATTTATACATCCTGTTACTCTAAATATAAAAACTGACTGATATAGTTGTCAGATTTTGTTTTGAAAATCACTGATTGTCTGTTGTTGTTGAAAACTAATATTAAGTTATTATGTACAAAAAAGAATAGTTATTGCAGGCAGGCTTGCAGGTATTTGGTAATTAATGGGAAATCATTTATAATATGATATGTGTCAGAGAAAGACCTTTTCATCTGTCAAAACTGAGCTAGATGAGGATTAATGCTCTGACTCCTGATTTATGCAGATCCTCCTATTGAATATCAGGGGAGCACTGTCTGGCTAATTATAGCATCCAAGAGATAGCACTGGAAACACCGAAAACCTGCCGGGAAAATTAGCAGCTCATTCTTGTAGATTTATCATTTTCCTGTTTACTAAATCATCATACATGGAAACATGCCTCTGGATGAAAAGTGACAGCAAGTGTAGGCAGCCATTCCCTCTTACTTTGCAATTGTTATTGAGGTGTAAAACTACGTGGGCAAGCACACCTTTTAGCCTTTAGTGAATTTAGGTGATGTGGGATTTTAGAGTCCTTGCAGAGGAGTGCATTATGGAGCTGGAGTGACGAGCTTTTGTCTGTGTGGGCAGAGGCTCGTTTACCTCGCTGAGAGGGCTGTTTTACCGTGCACATCCCCTCGTGGCTTTTCACGTGTGCTGACGAAGAAAGAAAACAAGGACCACTATGAACTTAACAGCAAAATTCATAAAATGAAAATGACTTGTCAGTCTTCTCTGCCCTCTTGTTTGGGCTGAAGGTACTGTATAATAACTCTACATCTGGAGAGACGATAGGCAATCTCTCAAGAAATTTGTAAATTGCACTTAGAAATCAATTCATTGAGGCCCCAAGAGCAAATTTATAAAAGTATGGGAAGAGTGAGAAGTCGAGATAATGAGTGCTGCACAATACATCTCTGGATAAAATTGGCTCTGCATGAATCACTCCTTCCCCATTAGAATATTTTCATTAATATTCTTGCTCTACATTGGTAAAACCAATATAATACCAAACACATCATTATTCTTTTCCTATTATTTTTCATCCATACCCCTGTGTGTTTGAAAGTTCACAATAGTGGGAGTAAGGCCTGTATTCAGTGGATGGAGAATGGAGATGGGAAAATGGATAAAAAAGTGAATCGAAAACATGTAAATGTTAAAGGTGAGTGTAGAGAAAAGACCTTTTTCATGCTGTTGTATCAGTTGCAGAGCTCGTTGGACACTGAAATCTATTCATTTGTTTGGAGCATTATTACTGGAGTGTGTTTATATCTGGCTACAGTACAGCACATTAGCCAGGGCATGTGGAGAGGTTGCATTACAGAGAATAAAAGTTGGACTCATTCAAATGGGTTTTTTTTGGAACAGAGGATAATGATGGTAACCAAATATGTGCTCAATATGGCCGATGTAAGATATTCAGCGATGTCTTCCTCACTAAGCCTACAGGCTGTTGCTGTTACCATTCGCAGCCACTGTAAAATAAACAATTCTGCAAGGTTATGGAAAAAACACAAATTATCTTTGTTTTTATCCAACGGCCTTGAGGAGGAGCAATAGTAATACAATTGCTTTATCAATAAAACATCTCCTAGTATTAATACAAATGATCAATACTACTGCTTCTACTACGGCTACTACTGCTACTACTACTACTTACATTACAACTACTCATAATAATGATAATAATAATAATAAATGCCTCTTTTTTTGGTGTAAGTGTATGACTAATGCTGCTACTATTATAGTAACTAAAACTTGCCAAAGTAAAGTTGCTTCTGTCAAGAGTTCACAGTTAAGCTTTTGTTCACTCTGCCAGTGTTTATATAAGTCCACACCCATCAGAGTTAATTAAACTTCAGCTGCCTTAAAGCCATATTAGCTCTATGAGTGGATAAACAAGTCCCCAATCAACACTTGTCAAGAAACCAAACAAATCAACATTTATTAACAGTGCACATTTTGCTGTGTACCCTTCCACACTATCTCCAGAGTAAATGAATCAAAAACATAATTTCATGATTCTGTCGAGCTTGAGATGCTACTTGTGATTCCACTGGGCTGGAGATTTGAGGTTGTTTTGCCAGTCATATATATATATCAACATATATATATATACTACATTTCCCATAATGCAACTCCTTTTAAAGCTCCTCCTTGCCTGGCGAAAGCTTGTGTCTTTCAAAAAGGAGTAGATAAAGTAAGTGAAATGAGTACAGCAAAAATTGCTTAGGGGAATACCGAAATTAGATTTTTCTAACACATGTGAATTTAAATGTGACACATTGCACTCTTAGCAGAAAGTAGTGTATATGCCATGGAGAGTACGTTTTTTGTTACATTGTGGTGATTTCTAAGGGCACTAGAGTGGCGCAGGGATGACGTATTTTTGTAGAAATACTGTATGTCATATTGTAGAACAAAAACTTTGAAATATCATAATCTTGTGTTACCCACAGACCTTATTTCAGGCATCAAAAAACCTATTCAAAAAACTCATTATCTTCACGACGAGGGAACCAGAAGTTCAAAAATACTAACTAATTTCCGGGTTTAAGGAGTCATTCCTGCAGCACTCTATAGTGGATATATTTCATCTCTGTTAAACAGTGAGGGTGAAGCTTTTGGGTTGTTATTTACACACGTCTGTGCAGCCAGGGTGTTAAAAGGGTGACCCTGGACTTTGACAATCCAGCATAGCAGAGCCTCTTAAACTAATATCTACCCATCTATATGGTACAATGAAAAATGGAGAGAGTAAAGACTGTGAGAAGCTTATTGAACAGGTGCAAGCGCTGTCTGCAGGGACTGTGGGACAGATTTCAAACTTTAATTAAAGCTCTTAGCATTTCTGAAATGCAAACAAGCACAGGGTTTGCCATTGTTTTTCAGATCACTGTCAAAAGCTATTCCATGATTACACTGCAGTAACTGTTCACAACTGGTTAATTTGCTTATCTTTACAGTGACAAAAGGTTTTCAGCTTTGGGTTTTGGTGCCAGAATCCCTCCAAATTATGAGGTGAGTATCTCTCTGCATATCTCTGCACTCCTTGTTTTTCATTCATACTCAACCACCCCTTTTTCTATTCTGTTCCATAACACCGTTCTTCCCTTCACATGAACAATATTATGCACGTATTGTATGCTCTTTCCACTACCCTGGAACTTTATGTTAAGCATCTGATTTCCATGACCTGTTTTATGACTCAATTTGTCATTCTGTCAAAATGTCACATTTAGAACTACTATACTTTATTTTTATTCATAAACCCCATGCCTTAAAATATCAACTTCTCTTGAGAAAATGACATGCTCCAAAGAAACAAAAGCCCCACAGTGTTGATGCTCAATTTACATAAGAATTCATGAGTGCGAGAGCATTTGTTTAAGCAAATTGGACTTTGAGAACCAAAAGCCATCAGCCATCACACGCACACACACACACACGCACACACACACACACACACACACACACACACACACACACACACACACACGCATAGACACACACACACATGCATGGTTGAATCACGATGCTGTTTGATATTTAATATCTAGAACGGCATATTATTATGTGAGATTGTTCTGTTCTATGTGCTGATGTGAAACACTGATAATTATCATTTCAATCATGCAAAAATTTGTAGCTCAGTAAATACAAACTATGATTTTCTGAATTTACCATGACAGTGACATGCCCTGCAGAAGTCAAATTCATTTTACTCCATGCTGTTGCCACATTGTGGTTGGTGGTGCAGGTGAATGCTAATTAAGTCATTGGACTAATCATGAGCTGCATTTAACTCATGTAGGCTACACCAGTGTGCAGGTTTGATGGACTCTTTCTCAGTATATGCTGCCTGTTATGCACACTAAGTGTGATTTGAAAACAAATAATAAATAAAGAACCAAGATGTTCATTTGCCAGCCAAGGATGCATCAGATAGTGAGTCTTGAGGATAAATGTTAAGGCTCACATTTCACTGCAACGACTATGGCCTATTGTGTTTTGTTAATTGAATGCCTTTGAAAAATTGCTCTCGTCAAAGCTAAAGTTTAGAAGAGGACATCACTTCCCATGAACTATTATTTATTAAGAGTTTAAGGGTGCTTTCACAACTTGTTTGGTTTTGTTAAGATGGACTCTAGTGCGTTTGCCCGTTTAGTGCGGTTTGTTGGTTGCTGGTGTAAAAGCTGTCCATCGAACTCTGATGCAGACCTAACAACCACATCAAGAAGCCCTCTTTCAGGCGGTCTCGGCTCAGGTTTGCTTACAATCGGTCTCTGGTTCGATTCGTCGGTGGTTTGAAACTAAACGAGGAAGCAAACCACAGGATTGTATGATAATAGATATGTGATTTTTTGCATGAATTTAAAGCTAAGCTACATTCATATTCATCTGCTGGTTCCAAACTGTCCAGGAAGGGATGCGTATATTTATGCAAATCATTTGGTAACCATGGTGACATGTATGCATGTGAGTGCAGGGCTTTTCCCTGAACAGTCTGACAGTCGGAAGCAGTGCAGCGTGTTGGGCTTGTATCCTACTGCTTGTAAGGCAAATAACACTTATACTGCTCTTAATCAGTTTATTTATTTGGAAGCTCTTTGTGACACCAGAAAACATAAATGAAAGAATAAGAAGCATTGAAATTCATAAAAAAGACATTCTGTACTTAAACCAGCTCCGAACTGAAATTGCTCTTAAGTGAAAACCTGCTGGGCAGTAAATTAGATTCTGATTTTAAAAAGCAACAACGTATCAAATTAAAAAACTTAGTCGGGACCAAATGAACACAAAAAACCTCTGCTTCGTTGGGACTGTGTGATTGTGGTTTGATTATATTTGATTGCCAGTGGCCTGCCAACATAAGCAAATACCCCACAACTGTGATCAGATTACATCACCTTTTTCCAAATGAGCCCTCTCCTCTTCAAACCAGTGAGAAAAACACAAATCTCAATTGAAAGAACCAAAACTGAGAAAATGTTGTGTTCGTCCCTTTGCTCATAGTAAGAAGACGACGAAGACAACAGGTTTTCAGGGTCTTTAAAAGGAGCGTTGTTGTTTCACTGGTGCTTCCTTACCCGCCAAAAATATATTTTTCATGTACTTGGGGGAAAAAAGGCAAAGCTAGAAAATAAGATTGTAATATTGAATGGCAGGAAAACATGTATATAATAACAGTACAATTCCATTTAAGTGTCGCTGTAAGCTATGCCATTGAACCAGCCTGCACTATACCAGAGCTTCACAAGTGGAAAACCAAAATGAAAGACAGCGATTATTAATGTTATTATTACACCTGTGGTTTTCATGTCAAACAGGTCTGCTATGAAACAGGCCTGTTAATGAGATACAAAACAAGACCCCGTCTCTTGCAGTGGCCCAATACAAAAACCAAATGGTGGTCTGTATGATTCATTTCTCTAGGACAACTCATTTATTTCTATACACTGGTCTAAATGCAGGCTGTTAATCACATTAAGGACAAAAATGACTTGGAAGAAAGTAGCCAGCTGGAGAGGAGTCAGCTGTCACTGATCTGGCTGACAGTTGGTGCTTGCGGAAAAAAAACGGTTTCTTGTGAGGGAGGTATCAAGAAGGGGATTTTATTTTTACCAATTTAACAGCTTTGAGAAAAACAAAGTAAATGTGACGTTTGGAATGGACCAGATAAAAGAAGAGGAGTGTCAATCTCTTTTCAGAAACCAGAATGTAAGCATATAGAGCATGCTTAACATTACTGTATTACTGTGTGATGAAGTGATGATTCAGGACATTAATACAAGTACACATTTCAGAATGTAGTGTACACAGATCAGTACTTAACTTAACCAGGCCTCACTGTAAAATACCTCTGAAAAGGTGAGGTATAAATAGACATTATTTTAAAATTAAATTAATTAAATATTTTTATTCTCTTAACATAGTATTTGCACCTGTACTTAAGTCGGGAGGCGGTCATTTGTTCGGTCGTGTGTGTGCGTGCATCTGTCTGTCTTCCTGTCTGTTTGTCCACAGCTAATCTTGCATACTACTGGACTCATAAGCCTAATATTTGTTGTGGTCATTTATTACTGTCAACATCAAACTGTCAACATCAAACAGTATCACAAAAATGACATCTTCTTAACAAAATTACAGTCAGCAATATCAGAAGAAGAAAAAAGTCCAGGCCTTCACAGATTCCAAACATGGCAGCCATTGTTTAAACAACATGGAAACGTTCAGCAAGAAAGTGTCCTTGCACACATAATCAGTATTTCACAATGTTCTCTTTTTCAATCCACAGGTGTCCCATGACTTTGCCATTAATTTCAACCCAGAGGATGATGAATGTGAAGGTAAGGAAGGGCTTTGTACACCAGTTTCCCATAAAAGTGCATCTCCTAGTGATACTAGAGTGAACATCTGTAATTTGACAACACAGCTGCTAAAGTATCAGTATTACTTAGCTGGTCCCCATCCCAAATGTCAGGTAAATTAATACATGACAGATCATATTCATAACATCCATTCACAACTCTTTACATCGTAATGAAGAAAGCCAACTCCTCTGTACAGATTTTTGTGAGCATTTCGGTGTGCCTCCTTTTTTGTACCAGAGTCAGAGTAGTGTTTATGTTTGATTTTCTTTATGGATTTCATAATTGATTATTACCTAAAATACACATGAACAAGCCGAAATCTGTAACTTTGCTTCTTCCAGAGTATTTAACTTCTTTAACTTGAGTAGGGCAGAAAACCTATTCAGGCCTCTTTTTTGGGAGACTATAGTGATAAACAGATAATTCATCTGACTGTACCTTTTTTAGTTTACAGTGGTTTGTTTGATGACATGCGTGTTTAATGAAGTGTAGATAACTATGTTGATGTGTCCTTCACTTTGTCCTGTGCTTTCTTTTGATCAGAGATCCAAGGAGTGGTTGAGGCATACCAGAACTGCCTTCCTAAGATCCAATTGTATGGCCCGACCAATGTTTCTCCCATCATTAACAGGATAGCCAAGCTGGCAGCAGGCGACGGCAACATTAAAGATGCTTCTGTGAGTGACTCTTTATACTCCATTAGAAATTTATGGATGTAATACAGGCTTTGTTGTAGTGCATCCCACTGAGTTCCCACAGGGAGTAGCCTCTGGTTCACCTCTCCGTTTCTAGTGATAATGCCCTATGGCTCAAAAAGGAAGAAGGGGCCCACTGTTTGGGCTGTTTTATATTTTACATATATTTCCATGTTACTGACCCTTTTATGTGTTAGAAATTACCTCATTAACTGCTGTTGAATGGGATTTAACATGAGTGGCAAATAGTTATTGTGCTCCTTATTCTCTCCTTGATATCCCTTTGGGAGTAAGAACACAAGTCTTTCATCTATTTACTCTCTTAAATTACCACCGGCTGCATGGACATCGTGTTCGAAACTATTACACTCTTGCAATTGCGCTGACTGTCATTTAATTATTTACTTCTCAATGTTAGTCCTTATTTTGATCAGTAAATGAGCTGCAGTCAACAATTAGACTTCCAGGGAACACACTAGAAATACACACACTCAGGACATAAACACAGTAACAACAAATTAACTACTACTCATGGGACCAATCACAAACCATCAATGCCATGCTAATTTTCTTGTAATTCTTATATTCTCATTGTATAGTGCTTAGTGGACACGTACATTAATTTCACACATTCACACACACAAGATGTCTCTTCTGTAGTTTGTGATTTGTGAGTTCTCCGTTTTGTTAATATCCTCCTTTTGTATCTGTTCTTGATCCCCTTGTTTTCTATGTAACACTTTAATAAAGTGACATACACACATATCTACTCAGTGGAGGCTCTAAAATTACCAAAGATAGCAGGAGAGGCCTTTAGACCACAACACACACTGAGAGGTGTTCTTGCTTATAACCATACTATGCTGTTAGAATGGGTTAATGTCCCTATGGATTAATACACACTGAAAAGCTCTTATCTTCTTCCAGCGATACCACATCCTGCTCATCCTCACGGATGGCGTCGTGACAGACATGGCAGACACGCGTGAAGCTATTGTGCGAGCCTCCTACCAGCCTCTCTCCATAATCATTGTCGGTGTGGGCAATGCAGACTTCACAGACATGCAGATTTTGGATGGAGATGATGGAGTTCTACGCTCACCGAAGGGCGAGCCAGTCCTGAGAGATATTGTGCAGTTCGTGCCCTTCAGAGACTTCAAAACGGTCAGTTTGTCTCACCGTCTGTCAATCTTCACTTGATTACGTTCATCTTCAACCACTCTCCTTCTGACTGCTGATGTTCATGGACATTAAATATTTTTTACATAACGCCCCCGTCACTTGTTATTCTAAAGAGCATGCGGCAAGCTTTTGCTGACTTTGCCAGTAACACAGATGGACATCATGGACTGAAGAAGATCCAAAAATAATTTAAAAAAACTGTACTCTTCATGTAGCTACATGCAATCTGCAACATTTCAGCTGTGCAATTATACTGTCTGTTCCAGATTTGATGTCTCACGTTCTAAATTGAAACATTTCCCAAAATTTGAATTATAGTAGGCCTGTATATTTTCTTTGAGGGTGGCAAACTTAAGAAAAAAACTGAATAAATGAGTGGAGAAACCAAGCAAATGCAGACACTTCCATACAGGAAACAAGGTGATGAGAGGTGAGGAGACAGGTATAATAATTATGTGAATCATATATATGGTCTTCACAGTCACCAGCTCTCATACCAATTAAACACCTATGGGAGATTTTGAACTGATGCGTTGCACAATGCTTTTTCACCACCATCATCAAAACACCATTTAAGGGAATACATGTTGGTCATACCTCCGGTAAAGTTGCAGAGTCTTACAGAATTTATGCAATCTGGAGGCTCCTGGTGGCCCATTTTCTTAAAACACATGTTGTTTTTTCCTTGAAGTTGTAACCTATTTGTCAAGTTAACCTGAATATGTTTTTATATAAATCACCCAGAGTTTGAGGAAACACTTACATTGTATAAAATCTGCAAAATTCATAATTGCACTCCCCTTTTTCACAAAGTAGTCATTTGTTAGAAATCTAGACAGATTTATTGCACCGGACCGTGCATGTGTAATAAATTAAACCATTATGTAATTAGTTTTTTGTACTGAAAATCGTTTTTTAAAATATGCTTTGACAACAGAACTTAATGCAAACTGGTTTTAACAAATAAATAATTAACTCTGAAACTATGCAATGCAAACACTGCAAGACATATTATATATTTTGATGTAGCTCTTAGGAAGAAAGTAGAAGGGACTTTTTTCAGAGTCATGAACAGAACAGTTACCCTTGAATACAATATCTGACACTGACATACCTCTTTTGATTTGTTTGAAACAAAAAAGGTAATCCTAACACCGTCAGTTGTCCCTTGATCAGGAATAGAAATAACTTAAAAGCTCCACTGGAAAATGTTCTGTATCTCAGATTAAAACAATATCGAACAGTTGTTTTGACAACTCCAGCTGTTCTCTGTCTCTATTGCAGGCTTCCCCTGCAGCCCTGGCCAAATGTGTTCTGGCGGAGGTGCCCAAGCAAGTAGTGGAGTACTACAGCCATAAGGCCATCTCCCCGATGATTCCGATGAGGGACTTACTGACCCCCATCCTCAGCCCTGTCGCCACCACCCCAACAGAATAACCATCCTTCCTGCTTTTGGGACCAAGCTTTGACCACAGCATCAGTCCAGCAAACTGAGAGGGAGAAAAGACGCATGCATTGCGATTTTGGAGGACTGGAGAGAAAATCTTTCTAAATGTGTTGTTTGTCATTTATTTCATTCTTCACACCTATCAAAGTGTTTACACAAGGACAGTACGACAGAGGCTGTAGGTTAAATTTCTCTGCTCAGTGTGGATCCAGCGCTTCTCTCTGGCTGTGCAAACCATGACCATCCAGCTGTTTCAGCATCATGAGTCCTGGAGGCTTGTGTTGTTTTTCCTCCCTAATTTTTATGCATGCAGGCCAATCCCTCAGGGCTGATCCATCAATCGGATGAAGGCTTATTATTCCTTAATGGCCTTGAAATTCAGCACCTCTGTCTTTCTTGTTACATTTTCCCTTATGTCACATCTTCAGATAATTTGAAGATGTGAAGACCCTTTATTACATTGGCCTTCCCTCATGTACCTAAGTCTGTCCATCTACAGGATTGGCTTTATTTTGGATTACAGTGAGACAATATTTTCAGACACACACAGGTTACAATTTCAGACATTGAAATTGGAACGGACTAGTGGCAAATCATGAATTAGCTACAGTATAATCGATTGCTAAAAATGGAAGCTCTGTTTCAAAGTGCGCAAGCACTCAACAAACCCCCAAATGTCCTGTCTGCAACAGCATGAAACATGAGCCACCCCTAATACCTAGCAAATATGAAAGCAGGCAATGCTGACTGTGTTTGGCAGTTAGCAGGTGCAAGTTGCCAAGTTAGTGTATTCTATATAAAGTAATTAGCTAATCACCCAGTAATTAGGCCTTCTTAAAACCAGTTGAGGAAACCGCAGCAGTGGAAAAGTCTTTGTTTAATTCTGACGTGTCACCGCTTCAGACTTGTTCCCCTCGTACATCTGTGAAACTGCAAGTGACATAACTTCTGCAATGTGATATATTTGCTATAGCTTGAGCTCTTTATGCTTCTTTCAGTTACAACAGGGAGCTAATAAATCATAGCAAGACAGAAAATACAGTCAGGTCATCAGCTGGCAAGTTAAAGTAGGATATGTGTTTGGGTTGTCGAACAAAGCCCGAATAACATTTTCCTCCGAGAGAAGATGAACAACAGCACCCCATTTTTGGTCTTTTGTCAGGTGGCTATGGTATGAACTGTGAAAATCTAAATTATTTGTTATTGTTGTCATCCCTGAGCCAGCCGACACACAGGTAGCATTCTTCACGTTTCTGCAGTGCGTTTCATTATGTTTTCCTTTCAGCTGCTTTTTATATGCAATATAATTCTACTCAATGTTTCATAAGGGATTCACGAGCACAGTTTAAATCCAATGAAAGCACAAAACCGATCAGTGAGTGCTGTAAAACACGTGTTATATCACTTACATTTATATCAGAATATTAAAAATATGAAACATTTATAATTATTACCAAAATTCCTCAGTGATCATTGCAATGTTTCGTACCATACAATAATTATTAAGGGTTTTCTCATCAATGTGCATCTCCAGAACAAACTGAATCTATTATTTTCATTTCTAAGAAGCTCTTGCCTGCAACGACCCCTGTTTACTTGAGAGGCTGCATTTGAATTTTCTGTTTTTCTATTGAGCTTTACAATCTTCATCATATTCAAGAAGATACAACCTTCACTTACCTTGAAATGTTTTCTTAGCTTTATCAAGCAAATAGATTTCACCTCAAAACTAGATGACTGGTCAATTTATTATCAAGCATCTATAAGAGCAAACCTTTAGAGATAAGAATTAAATATAAATCCCACAAAGTCTCTATCAGAGCTAAGCAAATTATTTAGTGTGATGGATCATTTTCTTGCCTGTCCCTTGGTGTTGGATTGCATATGCAAACTGTTAAAGAAGTCAAATGTGGATCTTTTAGAAAGAAAGCATAATATATTCCTTAAAACTGGAAGATTTTATGAAAAACCTAACAAATTGTTACCCTACCAGAAGCCTAACTGAAGAGCATCAGACACATAAATGCTATAATGTTCAATTCCTTACCGTTCACAATACAGTAATAACTCCAATACTGTTTGGTTTGGCATTGGTCGATTTTATGCCTCTTCTGGTAACACCTCTATACTTTGTATATTTACTTTGGGCTTTTGCATTTATCTGACATGATATATTTGTGCCCTGAATGACGCTGAATGACGACTAATTCAATTGGCCAAAAGCCATTAAATGCATAGGAAGAATATCTAGTCTTTACAGCCACATACACATATCCACCCCCCCAAGCTAAATATATTAATCTGACTTTGATTTGTACTCTAGAGCTTCACCATTCGTCCCCAGATACAGACTATTGACTTTTCATGAATGCACCTAAACACCGCCAGCTCTGCTGTTGGCTGCTCTCTGAATTCCTTTGAAGATCACCTATTGAGGATTATTCTGTCACTGTGGATCACAGGAGGAGCCCTATTGATTCAGCAGGCCTATAGATTCTGAGCCATAATCTGTCACTGGACTGTGAATCATCCTGGAGGGATTTTGGTCTCACGATGAGTCGTAGGTTGGAGTTATAGGTGAAAAGGTTATTTATTGAGAGACCTTGTTCTTCCTGTATGGGGAATTATTAGTTTTTTGTATTTACACATCTTTGTGTAAATACACAAAGATGTGTAAATACAGGTCTTTTAAAAAACAAACATCCTTAAAAATAATTCTTGGTTTTTAAAAGACTTACAACATAAAACGTTTCAGCAAAAAGATACCAATCTCAAATGATAACTATCCTAAAAAACTAAAACATTTAACCAGGTTTTTGCTTACCCACAAACCTTTAGTGTCTGTATCTATTCTGATTAAATAAGTCAGGATGTGCAGATATCAGCCAATATTTCTGTTCCTTGAGAGCAAACTATAGTTCACATATTATCTAAAATGCATCTGCACTTCTTTTTCCCCTATTACCTGTGTCCATGTATTGTTACTTTGCCTGAAGTTACGAGCTGCACCAGCTTAAATGGTTCATTAGCCTGTTCTCTTAACATTTAAGATGTGATTTTACAATTGACCTGAGAAAATTCAAAATTGTATTCCTTTAAAAGTATTTTTAAATAATTTTATTTTGTTATCAAACAACTAACACAATAGTTAATAATAGTTTGTGTTGAAACATGAATACAATAAGCCATTCAAATGTTTCATGCTCTTCTGGGGTTACCTGAATTACAAAATGTAGATGTCCTATGGTAGTACATGTTAAACAGCATGGGTCTTTAATGCCTCACCAGATTAGCCCCAAACAAATAACTCTTCAGACCTGTTTTGAAAGTTATTTTTAACTCTTTCTATTTTTCATTAAGTGAGAAGTTTCAATGCAATTAATCATCTATGAAGTATAAAATGTCTATCATTGTGTGCTTGTGTGCAAGAGCTAGCTGGACCCAAGTGCACAGTATTTGGGTGTCTTAAATGTTTTTACAAAAAACAAACAAAAAAACAAACATTCATGTTTTAATGGGAAACCCTCATTTGTACCACAGTGGTGCAACAGCAGCGAGCTGAAATGCTGGAGACATTAAGAGCACAGTTCATGTGGCCATCGTGCACTGCGGATTAAAAAAAGCTGGGAAGAATTAACTGAGCTGCTTATTTCCCCTTATCTATACTTGCACCATTGTCCGACAAAATTAACAAGTCGTAGGTTTTACACCACACTGATGGATTTGAAATTTCTCATAGACACTCTTTCTATCTCTCTCTTTCTCCCATCCACTACTAATCAGGACAAGGTTAACAGCCCATAACCATAATATGCAACTGGTATAACTGCAGGCCGTGTGGGGAAGAAGCAACCCATGCATCAATAGTAAATATTTGATTTCTTCGAAAGGAAGAAAGGGATTTTTTGCATGCTTACTTTTATTGTTAAGCTGTGCTGTTCAGTCATTCCTTTGGGTCTTATGATGTGCTTATACGCAAGCCTACTTTTACACAAACCTCTGTTCTTGTACTTCATGCTTGCAGTTAAGTAAATAAATCTCATAATTTAACTGAAACTGTCTCTGTTACTTCTTAACATATTAAATGACGTTTTTGATTTTTTTTGAGTTTCACAAATTGTCCATCACACCTGTCTGCTTTTGTCATCCAGTTTCCTTTGATCCTATTCACTCATGTCACATTTTCTCATTGCTCACCGCTGTACAGGACGGATTAATAGAAATAAGAACAAGATATTGATGTGCTTGATGAAATGCTGGTTATGCTCTCATGTATACATGTATATATGGGGTTATGCTGTGGCTGCTGTGAGTACCTATTACATGGGAAGAGGGTCTGAGCCTACTCTTTAATTCTATCAGACAGCTCGTTTCATTTAACTGCTATTGTTGAGAGCACTGAATAACGGTTGTTTCCATGGCGACACCTACTTGTGGGGAGACATAGACCTTCATTTTTGTCAGATTCAGGGACAAAGATCCAGGACGTGTTGAGGTCTCTGGGAGGAGGCCGTTCGCACATTATTATGAAAAAGATGAGGCTTTGATTGTGATGGCTGCTTCCCTTCGCAAGGCCACTAAATGTCTAGCGGGGCTACGAGCCTCCAGGTGAGCTTTGTGTTCAACATAGACACTTCCTCTCGCTCACTCCCCAATAACCCCTTTTGTGCCCAACCGACTGATTTATGGTCACAATTAAAAAAACACTCACCACCGCTTAACATTCACTGGCAATGAAATCAACAGAACATTTGCACACTGGGACACGGTGCTGTTGTTTAGTGAAATCAGCTCATTGCCTCCATGTTATCAGGTCACCTTTAATGCCTTTAAACACTGCTGGGCTTCCCTAACACTGGTATGCCTTGGACGTCTAGCTCGAAGCACTGTAAAAGGGAAGACGGAGGATTCATTGGTTTTATTTTCAGTGGCTGGTTGCCTATTGCCTGCCTGTAATGAGGAAATGACTAATAAGAGATGGAAAATGGGAAATCTCAGTCGTAATTAGCTGTCTCCTCCTTCCCCCGGGGGAGCAGCACATACCTTTGAAATGCTTCCGGCTAGCTCCTCTGATGGTGTCTCTCACATGCTAGCTATCTCCCTGTTACTTTGTACATTTACTGTACAGCACACACATGTGCTCCTGTAGCTGTGCCTACGGTGTCGAATTGTGATAGAATCTGAATTGTAAGTCGCTTTGGATGAAAGCGTCTGCTAAATGACGGTAATGTAATGTAATGTAATGTATATATATATATATATATATATATATATATATATATATATATATATACAGTATATATATATATATGTATATATATATATATATACAAACACACTTTGAAGAATAAAGTTGAGAATACATCTCTAATAATAAATGAGGCTTTTGTGACAAGCCCATTGCGGAGTGCATTGTGTCACATATAGAATATAATTTGAATAGAATAGAAAATACTTTACTGTCTACTTTTGGCGAGCAGAAATGCAGCACATTACAATAAGGAAGATTTGCTATACATTGCGAGCATTACATTATTCTGTTATTTGCATTCAGACAGCTGGAAGCTAGTCTATTGAAACATGTATGAGTCATCTAGAATCAAGACTCACGCACACACAATGCTGAGGAAGAAGAGCAGACATGGCTCAACAGAGGGGACTGTATTTGTGATTTTTAGTTGAGTTAAAATGACCTTCCGGGACCATTTAGCCCCATCAAGCAATGTCATATCACAGCCTTGCATTGTGTCTCACTTGCTGTCTCACTCTCCTGCTCCCTCATGCACTCCATTCACATCCTTTCTCTGCTCTCTCACACACACCTTTCAATTTTCACATTCATTTTGTGATTCAACTTCGTCATTGTCACTGCTTGAGAGAAAACAAAAAAAAAACTCACTATCAGCATTTATTATGAGCGTTGCCATGACATGGGTTTTTAAATACGTGTCCTCAACATAATATTGGAAGATATTAAAAACAAGACTTAAGAGTTTTCGGTCATGCTAGCAGCTCTGTGAGGCTGTACTTTGGCTCAGCGGTGCTTTTGAGATAAATGCTAACATCAGCGTGCTAATATGGTTGCAATGACAACGCTAACATACTGATTTTTAACAAGTATGCTTACGACATGAACCATCATAGTTTAGTGTTGAAGCATACTAAATATGTGAAGTAACTAAACAAATAATTGAGCTGAGGCTAATGGGAATGTCATTCGTTTTGGAGGTATTTGGTCATTCACAAAATTTGATTTGGAACTGATGATGGAGCAGGACATCATTTCATGGCAATCCATCTGATACTCAAGACATTTCACTCAAAAATATAACATATATAACAAATATAACATGTATATAAATAGTATAATGTGCTTGCAAATTCCCTACATCGATCATATGCAACCAGCAGACAGTCAAACTGTCTGTGTATCTGTTAATATGTATCACCATACCATTTTTCATTTAATTTCAAAATGTACGGCAGACACGTTTCAAGTGGGACACAGTTTTTTTACACTGACATGTAGCAATGTTCAGTGTTACAAGGAGGGTCTCTAAGGGTCTCTTCTCCGCTGGAAGTGGGACTACCGCAGAAGAATGAACAAGCTTCTCGGACTGCAGGACACGCTGTGACTTTGTGCCTCAGTCCCAGTCTCCTCTGTCTAAGTCTCTGACACCCACAGATATAGTTATTTAATTAGGCTCTAGAGTGTCTAGATGGCCAGCTTGACTGCTCTTTACTCTCACAGCAGTGCTCCTTTGTTGCTTCATGAACTTCCTTCCGTAACTGCACAACTTCGACTGTGGGCCTGTCCCGCTGACAAAACCTCCCACTCTTCTCCATCTCCCCTTGTGTCCCTTGACTAATATGAAATTAAACCTTCATGCAGCAGAGCCACAGAACCTGGTTGTAATTAGTATAGAAACCAAGCGGGCACCCCGGGAGTTGGATTGGACATTCACATGACAACATTTTCTGAGTTGCATTTAAAGCACTAGTCCACTTCTCCCGTTTCTGATGGAACAAAGCAGGCAGAAGGTTTGTGTTTGAGAAATCATCATCATCATAATTCTTGAGGATATAAGACAATACGCCTGTTAGAGATGAAATCCACAACTTTGTAAATAATCCTCATTTCATGCCATCTTCTTTGTCGAGTTTTGTTAGATGTTAAGACATATTTACTTTTGTTTGACTTCTTTGTGATGCCTAATAATCATTGTCATTGCTCAGTGCAGCAGCTTGCTAATTTCCTCGCTGACAATACCAAGAGAAGCTGTGCAAACTAAAGCATCACACAGAAATGATGTTTAAATTGGCAAATCTGTGCATCTAATGCTGCTTTGGTGTGTTATTTCACCAATTTAGCAAAAATGTATTCATCAGGGGTTGTGACAACATTTGTGGCAGAGGGCAAACACATTTATTACACAAATGTATATATGTGTGTATGAATAGTGTGTTAATAGTGTTCAGCCTGCAGGCCTCTGCAATCAAATGAAAGCCATACATATTATAATAACAAAATTTAACTGCTAAACGCTCCACTATGTTCCCCATCAAGTCGCTTACTGTGTTGTCTTTCATTTGGTGCCGAGCATGTGTGCAGTGGATTTTTAGAGACATAACAGATAATGAAATGACTGTGAACCGTTTAGCGCACTGCACCTGCGGCAAGGTCGGGATCAGACATTTGTATTGTTGGTGTTAAACTGCCATGAGTCAAACATGTTGACAACAACTGCGATGGATAATGATGTCATCCACAATATGTTGGCAGCAACATAGGAGCCATGAGAATGCAGCACCTGCATGAATCAGTGAAGCAGAACAACCTGAACGACACTATAATACACAAGGATCACAGAAGGCCATTGTTCCCTTTTGACTCTTCCCTTATGAGATTCTCCCGGTGCTGGCATACGTCACAATAATAATTCATACACATTTTGCATGTTGGTGTTTAATATCTGTGTGTAATGCAGTGGCTGCTTTGGTGTTGCTGGATGATGTGGATAATGCAAGACGCAGGGAACAAGGAGTCTTTAGAGACCTTGCTGATTTGTCCGTGATGATGTCACCAATTATGTGTTAACCAAGTTAAATGGGCTTGTGTACACTCTTGCGCTAATCGTGGGAGTCGGCATTAGGATTGTAAAGGAGTGCACATTTCCACAGTGATTATGATTAATTTAAAGGAACAGCGAGTTGGTGGTGCAGTTAAATATTTGGGTTTCATGATTAGAGTTCACTGCATAAACTGTCATGAATAATTTTCACTCAAATACTGTAAATGTGTATGTGACCTCCTATTGAACTGAAGATTTGGGTGAAATGACATTATCTCGTGGTGTGGCAAAATAATACTGTGAACCTATTTATATTACCATTTCTGTAAATAAAGGAAAAAAAATAAGATTTGTATCCTTGCCATCTGAATTTCAAGGGCAATATTACCATTAAAGTCTAAAATGGATAATGATGCAACTGAATATATATATGTATATAGGGAATCACCCACTAGCCCCCCCTACTCTGAATAGGATAAGCATACGCATAATGGTTGGATGGATGTTTTGGTGTCATCAAACGTGACATGTTGCATACCTATTCGTATTTATACCATTTGGCCAAATTTTACTAATATGGCTGCTGGCTCCTCCCTGGGACTCACCATAACTTCCTGTTGGCCTAGGCTCTACTGCAGAACTGTAAGTAACTAAAATCTGCGTTTGTTAGCGAAAAAACGCAAGTATTGTTTAAAATAACTTACCAAGATCTTCGATTTCATCTCAATGTGACTGTAAAATGTGGTTAATGTTTCGAGTTCATACTTTGGACAACATACTTTTGGTTAACATGATTATGAAAGTGAAAGACCCCATGTTTTCAAAACAGTATATCTTAACATGCATATCCTCAGAAAAAGTAAATAGAAGAACTGATGAAGTCACAAGTAACAAACTAGTTTAATATGTGATCCCTTGCAGTCCAGTCAAAGTCTGTCTAGACAGATAGTGATATGTTTTTTTTTAAAGGAGAGATAGATTTGA